GCTCAGATGGGCCACAACAAACGGCAGGAACATGGGCGGCTTGTAAAGCTCCCCAGATGAGGGGCTGTGCTGTTTTCGCCAAAGAGAGAGCAGGTAATTATCATTGGCATTTTGACAAGTGTTCACCACAGTGAAGGTCAACTCTGGCTGCGTGGGAGAGCTATGCTAATATGCTCAGCTGGAAGAGGACTAGCACTCAAACGGCAGCCGCCATTAATGTGGCTGTGTTTTTGTTTTTTTTTTCCCCCAGATCAAAAACTGTCCGCGCATTCACCAGGAGATCTGAGCTGGAGAATGAACATGCTAACTTAAAACGGGCATTCGTTGCGCAATGAAACCCTGTCCGAGCCTTTGACTCCATTACAGTCTTCCACCGCTTCATCACGATTCAGCATTCACAAATTTGCAGAATTTATTTATTTATTTTTTTTTTCGGGAACCTACAGATATGTTCTGATATTTCGAGTAAAACGACGTCCCTGCTGTTGTTGTGCTCAGGCGTAAGTTTTGTCTTGTCCAAAAATATTGCTTCGGTGCCATATTGTGCCATCTCAGGGCCAGGGACCTATGTTGAAGTGAGGGGAGGAGCTTCATTTTTCAGGTCACAGCCTTGTCTCATCAAATAAAGTGCTTTGCTGCCATCTGGTATCATCGATAAGGAATAATAAACTATTTGTGGTCCCGATATAGTGTTTCATCCCTTCCACCTGCTTAGGAACTTGGGAGATGTGACCGACAGCAGACCCCGCATGAGTGTGCTCATTGCGTTTGCGCATTTACTATTCTACTAACGGCTGAAAAATACACCGCCACGGTGGCTCTCCTTTCCCACATCAAAGGGCATTATGGTAAGTAGACTGTAAAAACCAAGAAGTTATGCTCGCTAATCAACTGGCATGAATTTATTACGACAAACGGCAGGCTCCTCAGGCATGTGTTATAGAATCACTTGACGACACAAGCCAGAGGCTCCACACTGTGGCCGAGGATGTCCAGGCCAAACATCAGGCTCTGGCGATTTCTGAGAGAGACTGCGAGTTAAGTCAGTGGGAGCCGGGTGAAGACGCTCCTTTTGTCTCGGCTGTCACGCCCGGATGACCCCTGAGCCCCTCAGAGGGCACAAAGGCCCCCAGAGGCCAGGCCGCAGCAATGAGTCTGCGGGCCCCCGGGCCGTGAGAACCCAGGCCCCCGGTCAATGAAGGCTGGGAGCCAGGGGACCCTGACCGCAAGTGGCTGGGCCATCTGGAGCAAGCGAGCAAGAGACCCTGACACACGGCTGTCACCCCAGGGAGGCACGCAGACAATACCCCCACCCCCCGCCCCACCCCCGTGTTGCTTCCTCACACTTCAGTGATGACAGGAGATCTGTGAGAGTGAGATTATTATTCAAAGAGGCAGGAAGACGTGTTCCTAAAAGGCAACACGTGACAGAAAATCTACGGACCAATGGGAGAAGGTCATGCCTTCCACCCAATGACAGGATATCGTGATACAGTCAACCCGTCAAACCAACCCTCAATATTTGCTAATGGCATAAGATGGTCAAACAATATGGAAGTTGTAGTATGTGTCAATAAGCCTGTTGATCAATTAATTTACAGTAATACCCCCTCCATCGCGAACTTTATGTTCCAGACCAACCCTGCATAAATGCGACTTGATTTCCTTGCACATACAGGAAGCAAAATCCACCCAGGAATTCCATAAAATGGCCGCTACTTGGTGAGTCTGAGAAAAAGCAAAGAGTCCCAGAGTTGCACAGCTGCACAAAAATAAAAAAATCTCACGCAAACAAAAAACACACACGGACACAAACACACGCGCACACACACACACACACACACACACACACACACACACACACACACACACACACACACACACACAAAACGCCTTGCAGTTTCGATAAAGCGGCAGCTTTCCCTTTTGTTTTGCAGCCGAGCAGGGATTAGGCAACGCGCGTCTTTGTCCTGCGGTTTTCCAGTTGAGCAGAACACAAGAGCCTCTACCTCCGCTAATACAGTCAGACCTCCCAGCAGGCCTTTCACCAACGCTGCCGCTAAGAACCTGCTGCCCCAAAGATGCTTTTCAATGAGTTATCAAATCTCCTCAATACTGTCCGTGCCTTTCAACCGAGTCTCTTTGTCTCGTCTTTTCAATGGGGCATTGAGCACATCAAATGGAAAGTGATGGGCAGATAGATGGACAGCAGTATGCGGCGCAGCCATATTAACCTCTGTCGGACAATGCCGGGTACAGTCAAGGTAGCCCCAGTGGAGGTTCGCCTTTGTACAATGTGCTTCTGTAGCAGAACATGCACCCGTGCAAAACTGCAGAAAATTGGTCGAGGATAAAGAATTGAGGCATAACGCTGATAGGTCTGCAAGGTCAGAAAACAACTCTGCATTGAATTCAATTACCTGCATATATAGACATACTGTAGGTTTTCTACATGGATGAGAAAGACACCTGTTCAGGTCATCTCACTTCCAGGTAGAGGATAAAGAATATATGACTTGAGTACTGTTGTATTGAATACCTAATGTGTCATCCCAGCTGTGTATTGTAAACATATGAGTATTAGAGCTTAATTTGACATGGCAACAAACTACTGAATGAACGCTCTATCTTCCCGATGTATCTCAAAATATATCAGCTGTCGGGGGGCAGTGCAATGCTTTTAAGTGCGCCTTATAGTGCGGAAAATACAGTCATAGTATTTGGAATCATTTGATATTTGTTGAAAATTCGGCCTCAAAATGTTGAAATCAACCCTGTACAGTTCATCTTTACTTTATGTCAGAGAAGAAACACAAAAAAAAAAGTAGTTTACTCTTCTGATACTAGCCTGATTACAGCAGCTTGTGAAGACCGCAAGAAGGCATGCTGCGCAGGCTCCCGGCAGCAGGTTCAGGCCAGAATGCGGCGTGGGGTTTTGATGAGTTCATTAGGAGGCCACGTCATTTATGCACAGTCACACGTAAGGCAAAGGTCAGTCAGCCGGGATTACTCAGGTGGCCGCTGCATGTGGGCGTCAGTTTGATTTTCGGATTCCATTTAAAGCATGCTGTTGCTTCGCAACCTGGTACCCACTTAAAAAAATACTCATGGGGGGAAAAAAAAAAAAAAAAAAAACATGACCCTGCCATGTTGCGTCCGAGCCATCGACGAGGATAGATTCGCAGTACTGATGCAACACGACAAGATTTGAACTGTGTATTCACTTTGCATCAGTGCTAATAAAAGAAGTGAGTGGGGTGGGGAAGTCCGCTCTATTTCACACTGTGATGGCGAGGCGGTAAAGGTATACAGGAAATGAAGCTCTGGGATGGGATTGATCTTAAAGGTCAGCCGGGGCACAAATGTTGCCGTTTAATATTTCATCCTTGTCGAGGCTTTGCATCCGTTGTGAATAACGGCCACCAATTAGAAGCAGGAGCGAGTTTGAATGGTGAACCGATTGCTATTCAGGTGGGTCGAGATTCATAATTCATCAACGCGGGTCAGGCGGACGATCATGTTGACTTAACATTTGGGCTGGCATTTCAGCCTCGCTCGGCGCCTTTCATTAGCGCTCGCTACACGCCATCTCATCAAAGACCGTCAAACTGGAGAGGGGCGTATAAATGTCTTGAGAAAGGAAGAATTAGAGGAAATGTGACTAAGGCCACGTCATCAAATGGGTAGGTTACACTATCTTCCAGATTACTGAATTAGATTAGAATTATGGAAATCTGAGTTGCTATTGGGAAAACAGAGGGCAGATTCAAAACCAGCTCAAAAAAAAAAAAAAATCTAGAAATGTTGAGAATCTGCATCAGTATAACTTTATTGTCACTGTACCACAAGGTGCAACAAAAAGGAACAAACACAGCCCATCCAAAACGTCCAGGAGGCATCGAAAAAAGAAAAAAAAAAGATTCCTGTGACGCAAAACATTTGTCGGCAAATGTTACACTTTAATTTATACAGCTGGTCCAGTGTGTCTGTAATTCATTTTAATCAAGGAAATATGGGTCGTGAAATAAGTAGTCACATAGTTTAAAAAAATTAAATAACAATTTTCAAGCGCAACTCCCACCCCAAAGCAACAGTGACATACTTCCGGCGGCAGACAAGATTTCCCCATGTAATCCCTTTGTTGAACAAACAAACACTGCAAACAAAAGGGTGACGGTGAGCGCGCAATGTGACTACATTCTGTAATCTTGTGGAAAAGTCTATTTTGCCACAAACTCGGCGAACCAAAGCTCACGCATAAATCTCAGCAAACAACTTGGCAGACAAAGAACAAGCACAATTTAGCGACGGAGAACGAGAGTGGACTCAACGATAGCGTAGCAATACCTCCAGTATTTTCGATGAATAAAATGTCACCTTTCTTTCCGACGCAGATGACGATTTGCCGACGTGTCAAACCGCCACAGTATAGCGCCAAGTA